TTGGCGTTGAGAAAAAACTCCAGTAATATTCATTACTACACCGAAGGTTCCAAACAGTGCATCACAAGTATATTGCTGGATGTTTAGGATCTGACAGTTCTTCAATGAATTTGATAACTTTAGAACTACCTTCATTGAACGTGGCTGTAGATCAGCGATTGAATTGGAAAAAGTATTTTCATCGTGTTCTCCGCAGAAAAGGCATTAATATTTTTCATTTTTCTTTCGTTCTCTTTTCACATATTTTTTGGTAATAAATTTTCCGGAGTCATTTGCGATTCGACGTATTTTATACCAACAGAATTACTTAGGTCAGGTTAGATCCAAAGTGAGTGGGCCTATTCGACCCTCCACCGCAACCTGCAAGGGTTTATTGTGACCGATTCATACTCGACCAATTAAACTCAGCTTCTTAACAAAGCCGATTAGTTTGTATGGTGAGTGGTCTTTCAGGTCAGATGATAAGATTACGGCTCTGCCGAACTCTAAAAACCTGCATATGATGATTCAAATGACAGTGACTTGTGAGAAGGCCTGTTAGACATTGTAGTTCATCCCTACTGTAGTCCAACAACTGTTTGGTATCAAGCTTTGAAGGGTGAATAAATGCTTTGGAGTGAGCCAAGCCTGAAAGATTCTGCCAGAAGTCCATACATCTTCTTGCCATCCAGGTGTTCAATGTTAGTTTGGCAAAGCCTAACGCGATGCCAATGACAGGTTCTGGTCCGAAACAGGATGCTTCGCACCCTGCTTCGCAAGCAAGTCAGCAGCCTCATTGCCTTCCAGGCCAGTTTGGCCAGGAATCCAGACCAGTGATAATCTGCTAAGTCTTCCTGTCAAGGAGAGTCGTTTTTGGCAATTTGCTACCAGTTTAGACGTTGTTCGGTAGAAGCCAAGAGCTTCCAATGCCGCTTGACTGTCCGAGAATATTTTTATTGACTTGTGTATGAGGTTGGATTCTTCCAATCTCTCCGCACACAATTCAATAGCATAAATTTCCACTTGAAATACAGTCGCATAGGTTCCTAGGTGGTTTGATATTTCTGACCTGGGTCTGCAACTGAAAACACCTGCAACAGAACCGGATGGTCCATCTGCGAACTAACAACTATCTGCTCCTAATATTTCGTTTTCCCAGAGAATCCAGTCCTCTCTAATGGGGAACAGTACTGTATAAGGCATTTCGTAGTTGACAGTTGGAGGCATAAAATCAGAGGTCTTTTCCAGAATACTGTGACTTCCAGTGTGCACCCCTACGAACGACAACCCTCAGAAGTCGAAACTTGTGCGAGCTAAGGATTAACGAGGTCTTACCTTTTAACGTGTGATTCCTAACACGGGCCGTACTCTCACCATCTGACCTGAAATACCACTAATCATACAAACAAATCGGCTTCGTTAAAATGCTCGGTTTATTTGATCAAGCGTGAACAGGTGTGAGTCACAATAAACCCTTGCGGGTTGCAGTGGAGGGTTGAACCTAACCGAACCTAACATCCTTTAATCTATTTAATTATAAACTGTTCAAGTGTCATAAAATGATTGCATTATATGTTGTGAAAATTTTACGTTTTCGACCCTGATGTCATGCATATATGCTAATGTCTACCTACGTAGAGATGTTAGTTATTTCACAGGAATGCCGACTACTAACGGAAACTATAGATGTGCTGTTGGTTCTTGTTGATGACTTGTGTATGTGTTATTGCAACCAGGTATAGCTCATCTACACACTACGCTGATGAAGACCAAGGAGCCACAAACACGTGTTTGTTTTTTTGTGAGGGCCTAACACATATTTTTGTGATACTAGGCATTTCAAATTTTGTTCTCCATCTGATAAATAATTCTTGAGAAATTTCAAATTCCTTTCACACCATAGGTTTATGTAGTTAGTTTGAATTGATATGGTATATATTGGTTTAAATTTCTCATCGATTTGAATTTGTTTAAGGCATCAATAGCGCTATTTTTGGATTGGCCAACTTGGACAACTACGTGCTCTGCCGAACTCTAAAAACCTGCATATGATGATTCAAATGACAGTGACTTGTGAGAAGGCCTGTTAGACATTGTAGTTCATCCCTACTGTAGTTAGTTTGGCAAAGCCTAAAGCGATGCCAATGACAGGTTCTGGGCCGAAACAGGATGCTTCGCACCCTGCTTCGCAAGCAAGTCAGCAGCATCATTGCCTTCCAGGCCAGTTTGGCCAGGAATCCAGACCAAAGATAAACTGCTAAGTCTTCCTATCAAGGAGAGTCGTTTTTGGCAATTTGCTACCAATTTAGACGTTGTTCGGTAGAAGCCAAGAGCTTCCAACGCAGCTTGACTGTCCGAGAATATTTTTATTGACTTGTGTATGAGGTTGGATTCTTCCAATCTCTCCGCACACAATTCAATAGCATAAATTTCCGCTTGAAATACAGTCGCATAGGTTCCTAGGTGGTTTGATATTTCTGACCTGGGTCTGCAACTGAAAACACCTGCAACAGAACCGGAAGGTCCATCTGCGAACTAACAACTATCTGCTCCTAATATTTCCTTTTCCCAGAGGATCCAGTCCTCTCTAATGGGGAACAGTACTGTATAAGGCATTTCGTAGTTGACAGTTGGAGGCATAAAATCAGAGGTCTTTTCCAGAATACTGTGACTTCCAGTGGCAACCAACAGTCTGTTGCACTCTGCTTAAATTGATGTGTGCAATTGGCAATGTGCACAAGTCTATATGCACACTATATGGCCGCTGACGGTGTGGTACTAATGGCACCACTGATGGTCAGACAAGCCTGTCTCTGTAAACCATGGAGCATCGCCTGGGCCGTTTTCTGTAAAGCCTTCAGCCACCAGGCAATTGCACCATAAGTGATCATTGGTCTGACAATCATCACATGAATCCAATGGATGTGTTCGGGACCTAAACTCCAAGTTTTACCATAAATCCTTCGACATGTCCATAGGGACATGTGTAAATTTTTTTCAAAGTGAGCGTTACAGGTGAGTTTTCTACCAAGGACAATGTCAAGATATTTCACCGCCGTTCCAAATGGAATGACCTCACCATTGAGAGAAAGTGGCGTTAGATTTTATCCTCCTAGTGAAGGGGATTTTCACAGTTTTGCTGGGTTTGACAGACATCTGCTTACTTAGGCACCAACTGTGAACAACGTCCATCGTTCTTTGAAGGATATTACAAGGTACTCTTCCCGACGTGGACCTTGCCAAGATGACAGGGTTATCTGTATAAGCTTGCAGATCTAGTCTTCATCTGTCGAGGGCATCAAGCAGACTATCCATCACGAGCGACCACAGAAAGGGAAATAACAGAATTAGTACTTGTGAGATAAAATATGTTATGTCATCAGTGATATTTTGGTATCTATGAGATTTACAATGATAGTTGTTGTTCTGGGTAAGTAGGTGGCTCGCATTGTAAAATCACCGTCAAACTGTACCTAATACAAAATTTTCATTATGAGTCTACTCGAAACTGTTATATCTCAGTGAATACTAATTGCAAATAAATTGCAAATAAAAGTGCACTGATTCATTTGAATCAGTGCACTTTTGCCAATGTAACACAAGTCAATTAATTACGTCAGCATTAAAATTGTGTGCTCGCTATTGGCGAAGGTTCTACCGGTGAGAAAGTTATCGAAGTGCTTGAAAATATAGTAGTATAGTCGAAGTAAACGATATTGTGCACATTCAAAGTTGGTGGTACTCTCAAAGGCCGGAAAAAATCAGCGAACTAGTCCACGTGGACTGTAATCCTGGCGGTTCGTATTGGATAATTTTTACTAACCGCGTTTTATGATTGGCTGAAGAGTCATGTTACGGTGACGAATATAAATCGGGAAATGCGGGGATGGTTATCGCCGTCGTGTTCACTTCAGGAACTGATCGCTATTTGAGTGGTGCAGTTTTGATTACTTGAAATTTTTGTTATCTGTTTAAAATGTTGCGTCCTTGGATAAGTACTAATAGTAAAGTGTGATAACAACGCACACTTTTTCCAGCGTAGTGATTCCAATAGTAATGGTGAACAATGCGAAACAGATATACCAGTGAATAAGATTCGGATGCATTTGAATATTGAAACACAGAGAGTATATTTCAATGTATATAAGAATCTTGATATCAAGTTNAGCTGACGTCCAGTTCTTCCGCCATCCCACGCATCATTTGCGATAGGAGTCTCCACCAGAGTTCTCAAATCTTTATCCTGGATAACTGTAGGTCGACCGCTTCGGGGCTCATCTTCGAGGCTAAAATCTCCGAAACGAAATTTTACAAACCAACGTCGAATAGTGCGTTCATCAACACCATCATTTCCAAATGTCTGGTTGATTTTTCTGTGTTTCAGCAGCGCTTTGGTTCAATTTGAATTCGTATAGAAAAATAGACTGAAAATCGTTCAACGACATCATACAGTAATGAGCTGAAAAGAGGCAAAAAATTAAATTTGGGGAAAAATTAAACAGCATCAATGTAATGAGTACAAAATTCTCTATGGATTAGTATATACAACGACACAGTAAATATTTATTCAGTAAATATTCAGTAAATATTTACTGAATAAATATTTACTGAGATATGGATCTACAAAAACTCATGACAATGAAACAGACAAAACTTTCGAAACAATCTAATAACAGATAAGGTCGAGAGAATTTATCTAGTTGAAGCTGGGATGATTCTGCAACGTTACATAGTTGACGGATTGCGAAAAGCCATGATGCTCCCTAGGTGGCTCGGAGAGATTATAACATTGCTAATGACCAATGCAGTCGATGCCAATGACACTCCAGAAAAAAAAGATTAGGGTCCTTAAGCATTTCGTTCTTATCTTCTAACGTGTGCCTTTATTTACAATTTTGAAAAAAAGTATCAGGGAGCATAGCCAAACAATTGAAACAAGAATAGAATAGCGCACAGTACACGATCCGTACAACAATACGAATACAAATAGTTGGTATACACGAGAATTTGAATCAGTTTCTCGGAGATTCGCGTGGATGGAATCGATAAAACCGCGTCGTCGCTTCGCATGTGATTTGGCGTGGAGCAAAATTCAGTTTTAATAATAAATCAATCGGCAACCTCCTTTTTAATACGTTCGTTGATTGAACTTTGATAACCCCAAAAATTATTAACAGTCAAGTCTGATATGTCACAAATTTAATGACAATTCGATACTTCATTCCCATCTATCAATGGGCTGGATTTGGAATTAATCAGTTCATTTTCTCCTGACATGAATCTCACTAAATTCTAGTAATATTAAACACTTTTGCATTCATACAAAAACTTGCAATAACATTATCATTCGAATAACACAATTGGTAAGTTATCTTTTATTTGACCTGCTGAAAATAGCTTTCATAATTTTCGAATATCAATTTTCACTTGAGTGTGTTAATTGACTCGAATTTTAGGTGTTGTACACGATGGAGTGCCAGGATCTCAAGATAAATATAGATGAACCAAGATATGACCAAGAGACGTACATCGGAAGGGCGAAACATTTCTTTCTCACCACCAATCCTTTGAACATTTTCGTATCGAATGAAAAACTAGAGGAAGCAAGATGTTTAGTGCAAAAATTCAGGTGAGTCACATGTTTTCTTCCAGAAAACTAGTGTTGATCCATTTGATGATTTTATTACATAGGTTATCTCATACTTGATTACATCATTGGCAAATCTCAACAGTTGAAATGTTAGTTTTTTCAAAGTTTACACAACCTCACTTCGAAATTCATAATGAAATTCCAACTAGCTCAAAACTGATATTATTAGTTTCGATTGGACTTTAATTACCATGTAGAAAAATGATAACCTCTTTAATCGATATCGATGATAGTATGAAAATTACAAAATACATACTTCTGAATCAGTATTTTAAATAATGGTATTACAACTTGCAAGAGTACCCCAATATTAAATATGTGACGTAGTTGATGCAAATGACATGAATTGTTTTTCCACAATACCGGACGTTTTTGGGAAAAAAATTTTGGCTTTCTACTACTACATCTTGATACAAAAAAAATGTGTGAATCTTCTAAAGAAAGGAAGGAAGCAGCAATCAATTCCAAAAGAAGTAACTCTATACATAAATGTGTATATCATGCAAAGAAGTAACTTTCACACAAACTGAAAGAAAAAGCTCTCCTGAAGCAGCTACTTTCATATAAACATTGAATTACACAAAAGGAAAAGTATTTGTTATGACTGGATCGACGTTGAGGTCATTCATCAATTCCAGAGCGATGCTCATGCGACGGTTTTTTTGTTCAAAATTCAGCAATTTCAGAACGAACTTCGCTGCCACACGCTTGATGCAAGAAATTTCCAAAACAATTCCACGGCATGAGCCTACGGCTATGCCGACATTCTTAACAACTTCTCTAATAGTGATTTGACGATTCTCCATGAAAAATATCTTTACTTTCTCAACATTTTCATCGGTTTTTGATGTGTTGAGGCGTCCAGGATGTAGTTATTTACATCTCCTCGAACGTCTGTGAGAAGCTTGTACCACTTGTAAACATTTTTCTGACTCAGAGTACAATCACCGTATGACACTGCCAATATTTCAAGTGCTTTTGAGTACTTAAGTCGCTAATCGAATGTATATAGCCCGCCAAATTTGAAAACTCACCTTATTTTTAGAACATACCTCGTATGTCGGAAATATGTGGTGAACTATACGAATAGTTTCCCACTTATTCTGGATTCAACTCCATACACCGAAAATTATATTTTTCAAGAACCTCATCATTTGGGTACGACGTCTTTATGAACAGAGACAGTTTTCCTGTCATTTACAGTGATTCGAATTCAACGTAATTCGCTTTTTTCCCAATGGTCTTGAACTTTTTAATGAATTCGTATTGCAACGTATTCCCTTTCTGAACCAGACTGAACAGGGTGTAGAATGTACTGTTTCCATGGAAAAATATTACTTTGATTTGTGAATAACAGAAAATTAAAAAAAGTAGGATATGGTCTTGTGTAATTTGAAACGGGTATGTTTCATTAGTTCGGACTTCCATTATCTAATATGATATAAATTGATTTGAAATACCGGAAAAAATCTGTAAAAAATTTAAAAAGAAATTAGCTGAAAAATAACAATCATATTAAGCAAAAAACTGAAATTACAATGAAATAAAATACAAAACAACAACTAAAAAATTAAACTATCAACACGAGATGGAAATTAAAAAATAATTATTAAGAAGAAATGAAAATTAAAAATCGATAGATTCCAAACCAAGTTACTTCACGACGTTTCGGTTGTTAGTATCCACAATCGTCTTCGGGTGATAACTGAACATATTCCCCGATAGTTATCTTGATTTCGGGCAGGTTGGAGCCTGGCTCCCTTACCATTTGGACTGATGTTCGTCAGGAAGACGAATGGGTCAAGACTGATTTATGGGATGACGGCATGAATGTCCTCAGACATCAGTACCGCCCTTCACGTGGACCCCTACCTGGCTATGGTGTTTAGATGAAGATATTGTTCATCTTTTAACGGGGGACATGAGGGCCTTCTATATCGGGAGGGATCGTCTACAGCATAATCCATAGCTTCCGTAACTAACGGATTATCATGGGTTTCTGCGCAATCAAAGACTTGCTGATTCCTCGACTGAATGGACTGCTTAATGGAAGGCAGCTGCAAATCTCTGCGGATGGCTTCATTCCGTACGAACCTCGGAGCATTCACTGTCATCCGTATTAACTTATTTTGTAGTGTCTCCAGAATGGAGATATTAGAGAGCCGCTTGTCCCCAGACGCCTGAAGCTACATGATGACAGGCTTGAACATCGTTTTATAGATCGTAATCTTGTTTTTAAGGCTTAATTTGGAACGTCTGTTGATCAGAGGGTACAGACTTTTGATCCGACCCTCGATTTTTGCCTTCACGGTTGTGGTGTGCGAGTTCCAGGTGAACCTACGGTCTATTAGAAGGTCGAGGTACTTTACCCGTGCTTGTCAGTCGATCTCCCTTCCAGAGATCCTCACTTTTCTGGCCGGAGAAGATATCGTTCTTACCATGGTTATCGCCTAGGTCTTATCCGGGTTAGGAATCACAGGTTAAAAGGTCAGACCTCGCACAAGTTTCTCAACTTCTGAGAGTTACCGTTCGTATGGGGGCGACAGCTGATTAACGGAAAAACAGATTCTGAACATATTTTTTAAACTCGGATCTTCCATTCGAGGTACCAGCGCTCGAGGTCGTCCAATGCACGTTCCATGTAGACGACACCGAGCTCCGGACCCATGGAAGATGAGAGAAGAGCCGTGTCACCAGCGTACAGGGTGAACATATTCCTCCGAGATCTGACTATTTATAGGTCATTCGAGTGCTTTCACCTAGACCGTCTTCCCTCTCTCCGCTTCATCGGTTTTAGCGGAAGCTGACCGTTTGGCGGAAGTTGGTCGTGTTCCCCTTGATTAGAGGTTTTACAGATTATTTTCGGTATTTCAAATCAGTTTATATCATATTAGACAATGGAAGTCCGAACTAATGAAATGCACCAAGAAACATTGTCAACTACCTTCAAACAAACGTTGAAAGGGGTATATTTTTGAGAGATTAGTTTTAGCGAAAAAACTTTCGGAATTCACTTCCTCATCTTTATACAAAAGTAAATGTCGAAAACTTACAAACGAAGGAAAAAATCAAGTGAATTTGAAATAAACTCTCCACAAAGATATGTAGTGCATGCATGAAAGTTACTTTCAGATACAAAACAAGCCATCCCGAAACAACTTCCTTCACATGAATTTTCAATTACACGAAAGAAAAAACACTCTCGGAACAAGTACTCTCATATGAACATTGAATTATATGAAGACACTTCTTCCTATTCAGTTTGCACTCCAAACATTCTTAATGGAATTGAACCAGATATCATTCATAGAAACGCTACACAATATACGAGTAATATATGAAAAAAATATGGTATAAAATTTCACGTCAGGTTAGATCCAAAGTGAGTGGGTCTATTTGACCCTCCACCGCAACCCGCAAAGGTTTATTTTGGCTCACACCTATTCACACTCGACCAAATAAACCCAGCTTCTTAACGAAGCCCATAAGTTTGTATGGTGAGTGGTCTTTCAGGTCAGACGGTAAGAGTACGGCTCTGCCGAACTCTAAAAACCTGATTCGGTCCTCAGCGGGGCAGGCACCAAGTATATGCTCTGCTGTTTGATCGTTAATGATATGGTCGGATAGTCAAGGTGCAAGATTCCCAACTTGATACACGCGATAACCTTCTCTTATGAGGGTTTTTGCACGTCAGCTCTACCTGACGATGCCTTAGATTCAACCGTGCAGGGCTTTTGGATCAGAAGTTGGGGAGTTGGGAAACTGTCGCTCCCGATCTAAATTTACAGGGAGGTCCGTTGGAGTCATGAGCTCGACATCCATCTCCTCTGTAGACTCGCTCCTGATCTTAATTTACAGGGAGGTCAGTTGGAGTCGTAACCTCGATATATATCTCCTCTGTAGACTCAGCGTCAAAAAGAATTTTTAAGTTTACTCTGTCCATAAAAGTCCCACGAGTAGCTAGGAAAAGAAAGTAAATCATGGCAGAGCCCCGCATTACCGTGACAAGGCGATGTTATGACGAGAGGGCCCCGGTATCTCGTAGCACCGTATAGAAGTAAACAGAAGGTTCCGTAGAGACAGCTGATAAGCTCATTGTCATTCATCCTATTTTATGTAAACGTTGGGATCAATCAGCCGTATATTGTTAAGAAAAATTACCATTAATATTTTCCGATTCCGGAGAGGGAGCCAAGCCCAAAGAAGGCAGCAGGCGCACTTGTTAATAAAAAAAACACTTTTTTCAAATAAAGAAATACATGTAAAGTCAGTTCGAATTATATCAAGGAGGATGCGTACAGTACCATCTGCCCGCGAATATATCAAGCGATAATGTCGATAATTCTGTCAGATACAGATCCCGAGTTCAAACGCGAATAAATATGAAATGAAAAAAGGAAAGTTACAAACGAGCAAACTGACAAACAAATAAACATACATACATACATACATACAGGTGAAGCTAATGAAAGCGTGTTAAATAAAAAAACTGAATGGTATTCATTACAGCTGTAAATATTTTCCAGAATACCTTTCTTTTGAACAGTGAAACAGTAAAAGCGTCTCCACTTATTGCATCTTCCTCATTATCATCCAATTTCAGATGCCACGAACCTCTACCTCCTGGTATAACTGAAGATAAATTATGGAGAGCCAAAACCATATACGACTCAGCTTTTCATCCAGACACTGGCGAAAAAATGAACTTGATAGGTCGAATGTCAGCGCAGGTTCCGATGAACATGCTAATCACCGGAGGAATGATCACCTTCTACAAAAGTACTCCTGCCGTTGTCTTTTGGCAGTGGTTCAATCAGTCTTTCAACGCTTTGGTCAACTATACCAACAGGAGCGGGGACATAAAACAAACAGATAAGTAGGTGTTATGACAGAGCATTCAATTTTTGATGCAGAATTATTACCATTGCAGGCAATTATTGATTTCATACGTGTGCGCAACTGGTGGAGCTGTAGGAACGGCATTAGGACTCAACAGTTTAGTAAAGGTAACAGAAACGATACTTGAACATACTCATAACTCTAAAAATAATGTTCCACAACAGACTATAATGCCCCTGTTTCTTCAATAAGTTATAGATACACTTTAACAACTAACAAACACCTACACTTCAATATCACTTCAATATCTGTCAAAAAGTATTAAGATTAAATAACTTGTTCATTTTTCCTCGTGTAAAGACTCTGGAGTTGACTTCTCAACATTGCTCTTTCTCTTCAAGTTACTCCATCCCGGGTAATGCATCTGCGTCTTAACACTTCTTAATTCAATGTACTTTTACCTGTAGTAATTTTTGGAAATGCTAAAACCATTTATAAACGCAACTGCTGGACGCTTGATCTTGTAGTTGCTTTTTGGAACTCGAGCCAAGATATTTTTTATACGGAATTATCCTCTTCCTTGATTAATGTGGAGTTGTTCCAGTAAATCTTAGACTTGCGTTTTCGATAAGAGCAATAGATGTGCTACCGTTATCTCGCTTGGGCTCTTCCATTTGTGGTACAAAAGGCTATCGCATAGACATAGAGCGAATCTCACTGAATCCAATTACCTTTGATTGCTATGTAATGCTTGGAGACTTGCTTCCTATCAGGTAGAATTTTATTGTTGCGCTAGTTTCTAACCTGTACTTATTCAGTTGAGTTGTAAAACAACGTAAGTGGGTCCCGTACGATCTTTGTGTATCGATACACAAAGATCCTTCTAGAGGTGATTCTGAATCGAATGAGCTATCGCTCGTAGTTTTAGGACCTTTATCTCTATTTCTCATGTTTTAGAACTTGTTGATTAGACTACACCGAATGTTTGTATTCAACCTCAAACTAGCTTACCAGTCTAAAGGGTAGGGAAGCTAGGCTCCAACCTGAATGAAATCAAGATGACGAATGAACCTCAAACTACTCGAGTACGTAACACCATAGTGTAAAGATATTATCTTTATACTATGGTGACACTTATCAGTTCTCCAAATGAAAGAGTTCTTGAACAGTAAAGTTCGAGGTGTACTGAGTTTAACCTCAAAACGGTGGGCAGCCACAGTCCGTCGCGTATTTCTGATATGTAGCGCTCTTGGCGGAATCAAATGTGACAAGTCACTGGACAACTTTCCGTGAAAGTATCTATGGAAGAGAGACAAATCTCCAACCTTTCTTCGATGTTCCAGACTATCAAGGTTGCAAGTGATGTTCGCGTTTCCAATCAGGCGGATAGCTCTTCTCTGGATGGAATGCAGCAGCTTCAGCTGCTGCGGCTTTCTCCATGATTTTTGATCACTGATAGCAAAGCGACTGGTCTATAGTTATTTGAAGGATTTTTATTACCCTTTTTGGGAATAGGCTCAACGCGAGCAATCTTTCAACCAGAAGGAAACACTCCTTTCTTGTAAGGCAGATTGAAAAGTCTACGAAATACTGGTGCGAGTGTATTTGCACACTTTTTAAGTACGTTGACGGGCACTTAATCAGGGCCAGATGCCAGAATTCGCCTAACTAGACGTTATCAAAAAGGATTTTCCGGCATTGTGGATTATAGATGGGGAATAGAAAATCGACTTTGAAGTGGGACGCAAATTGTTCAACTAGTAGATTTGCTATTTCTTTGTCTGTTGTTGCAATTGAACCATCTGCTTGTATCAGTGATGGAATTGTGGATTTTGAAAAGTTTTGATAAACAGTAGTGGAAGTAGTTATTTCGGGAAGGATTTTTCTTTCATTTGTATCTGTGCATGGTCTACACATCTTTGTGAAGAGATCATTTTGAACTCAGTTGCTCTCTTCCTTCCTTTGGAGATTTCCCACAATTTTCTCTATAAAGATTGGGAAGTGAAAAGCCAAAGAATGTTTTCAAAATACACATAACATTCAACAAGAATTCAAGCTTATTGTCGATCTGGTTCCTATTTCTGGTGACGAGAAACAGTCGTCCCATCAAAAGACCAGTCCAAAGTTATTCCAATCCATAATCCGAATTCCTTTCGGGTCTATTGGCTTACATTCAGGTTATCCAAACCTTCTATTAGAAGCTTCTAACTAGTCTGGAGCATTGTCCTGATTATTATAGATATGTTGTCATATGAATTCCATCCAATATAATCGAATGGCATATTATTCACAACAGAACAATATTCTCAAGATTGGTATGAAGTTTTTCACGAAAATTTTAATTTTGTCTATACGTCTTCATGCATCCTGGCATTCTTTTTGTGCTGAGTAATCCGCTGCACCCCGTGACTCAAAATGTGATGACATTTATTTTCTCATGTGTTAATTCTACAAGCTCATTGAGCCTCCCGGTAGTCAAGTACATAATGAACTGTGAAATGTGTAAATTTCATCATATATTCATGCCATTATTCAGTATTTATAAGGCGTATTTTTTTCCTGACGAAAATATCATATGAACAAAGTAGCAATCAATAGTATTAGTTTGCCAAATGTTAGTATCTTCTGTATAAATATTATTAGCATCTGCATTCACTCAGCTCATGCCAGTTTTAGTTTAATCGTTAGGAGCGTCTGTACATTTCGATTGGCGCCACTATTCCAGCTATTAAGAGGTAGACCTCAGCCTTCAACCACTTGGTTAGCTAGCTGAGGAGTGGAGCTACATAGCATCGTCCACCACTGGTCAATACAACCTGAAATTCATTTTACATAATATTGAGTATAATTGAAATTTACAATGAATAAATTTACAATTTATAAATGAAACAAATTTAATGCTCAAAACATATTTTTCACCTGAAATGTTCTGTTGCATATTGTACTACTAACATATATTTCTGTTTGTTCTTATCACTAATCACCAATTTGATGAAAATGAGGACACAATATTTAAATTGAAAAGGTTATATTTTTAGGAGTGACAAATTTTTGGGAAAGAATGTTGCTGGCTTTCTACTACTCCATCTTGATACAAAAAATGTGAAAATCTTGCAAAGAGAGGAAGGAAGCAATCAATTTTAAAAGAAGTAGGTTAGGTTAGGTTTGGTTAGACTAGATCCAAAGTGAGTGGGTCTATTCGACCCACCACGGCAATCCGCAAGGGTTCATTGTGGCTCACACATGTTCACACTCGACCAAATAAACCCAGCTTTTTAACGAAGCCATTTAGTTTGTAGGGTGAGTAGTCTTTCAGATCAGATGGTAAAAGTACGGCTCTGCTGAACCCTAAAAATCTGATTCAGTCCTCAGCGGGGCAGGCACAAAGTATGTGCTCTGCTGTTTCATCATTTTTTCCAAACAGAGGCGACACACACTGTCTTCTGACAATCCGAGTCTCTGCATATGATGATTCAAATGATAGTGACCTGTAAGAAGGCATGTTAGACATCGTATAGCTCATCCCTACTGTAGTTCAACAACTGTTTCGTATCAAGCTTCGAAGGGTGAATAAACGGCTTGAAGTGAGCCAATCCTGGAAGATTCTGCCAGAAGTCCATAAATCTTCTTGCCATCCAGATGTCCAATGTTTGTTTGGCAAAGCCTAAAACGATGCCAATGACAGGTTCTGGTCCAATGAAGCTGCTTGCAGCACCTTCCTTTGCAAGGGAGTCGGCAGCCTCATTGCCTTCAAGGACGATATAGCCAGGAATCCAGACTAGAGACAATCTGTTAAGTCTTCCTATCGAGGAAAGTCGTTTTTGGTTTGGTTTGAAATACAGTCGCATAGGTTGCTAGGCAGGTTGATATATCTGTACATAACTCTGTATACAGCGTGACTCACGGTCGATGGTGCGTTAGACGTTACTGGAAAACGCAAAACATGATTTTTCTGAAAATTTCACCTCTAACATTTCCTCACCTGTTCTATCGATCTAAAATATTTTCAGCATTGCGGCAAAAAGTCCTAGCAACTTCATTTTTTTAAATGGAACACCCCGTATATTAATACATTTTTGGAATCGCTGTAGTATTTCAATACTTTTTTGTTGATAATGTCTTATACCTATCTCTATCTGTTTTCGAGATAAAAAATAAATTGTGCTAAATATGGTCCAAAACATAGCCTTATATGGAAGTGGCAACGCCGTAATGCTGAAAATATTTTAGATCGATAGAACAGGTAAGGAAATGTGAGAGGTGAAATTTTCAGAAAAATCATGCTTTACGTTTTCCAGAAACGTATACCTACCTTCGACCATGAGTCACGCTGTATAACACTACACATTTATGTATAGAGTTGCTTCTTTTAAAATTGAATTGCTTCCTTCGTCTCTTTGGAAAATTCCCACATTTGTTTTATATCAAGATGGAGTAGTAGAAAGCCAAAAACTTTCTTTCCCAGGATTCAATATATTATTCAACTAACACTGCATTGTGAGATTTTCGCTGTTCAGTTTACAAAACCGCAACACGTGTTTCGCTATTTAATAGCTTACTCAAGCGTTTTCATAGTGTAATCCATAACATGTTTCAATATATGTTCTTCATTTTAAGTATAAAAATGATCTGTTTTGCTAGTTGTTGAATTTATACAATCAACATTTCAGTTCCCCAAACACAAATATTCATATATCAACATTAGTGAAGTAAAAGCATATCTGAATCAATCTGACTTTTAAAACCATTCCATAGACTTTAGTTCATTAAGATTAGTTAGACAAGTTAACAACAACAGGCAACTAGATGCATATGAGCTTGTAGAAATAAGTTAACATAATAATATTATGAATAACGATGACGGACCAACACCAAATAGCATACTGTATAGCTTGTTAAAATAATATTATTAGATTTACTGACTATTACATAAGGACACATTGTAAACATAAATTTAGGACAAGTAGATAGGCAATATTGTGAAATTAACTTTTATATAGCTTGAAAATGGTTTTATATATATAGCTATAACTTTTAATTATTAGATTCAACTAACTATTACATAAGGACATATTGTAAAATTAATAGATAAGGCAAGGGTATACCTGTATGGTACACCTGTATAGATAAATAGGGTTAGCCTTGCAAGTTTTCCCAGTTTAATATTCCTCTTGAAGATGATCACTTGGTGATCGAAACACGTGTCGAAGTGTTAAAAATAACAATTTGGTGTTAGGAAAAAACTCCAGTGATATTGAAAAAACTTATGTTGATAAACATGAAGTTGATTTATTTTCCAACAAATTATTTGTAATGCAGAACGATCAAAATGTCTTTCCTATCTGGAAAATTCAATTTTTACGTTTGATTCGTTCCCAATTCAAACTACTTGAAATAATATTGATTTTTTTGTTTTCAGAGAACTTAGATTAGGGACACCAGTATACGATGAACAAAATAATAAACTAGGATACTCTAAGGTAGCAGCTCAAAGTGGAATTGGACAAGTAATTTTTAGTCGAATATGTATGGCTCTACCAGGAATGGGTAAATACAATTCAATTTTCTTTTCCTCCTAAAGCAAAATCTACTGTAATTTGAAATTTGAACTCTTGTCACTTCTTACAACTATGATTCATTCTAGATTTGATCAATTAAAATGAATAATTTATACCAATTATTCTTGAAAATAAAGTATTTCAATGAAGCTCTGTCTATACAATCCATAAACATTTTTGCTTTCATTATTGTGCAAGTTACAAAAATGATTTTCATATTCCACCTGCAAAACATAAGATATCATATAGATAACTCTGGAACTTTTTGAAATGAAATTGAAACTTTGTGATGATTTTTTCAATCTGTGAATTCTATATGTGTATATACTTTATATTTGTATGATTCCTGAGAAGGACTGAGTCGTATTTCGGTTATTTGATTTTCAAGCCAAAAAGCAGCACTGTTTCTGTTTAGTAATTACTTGATCCAAAAAGTCAGAAATACTACCAATCACGTGTAGAATTTTTGAAAGTTTTTTTTTGTTTATATACGTGGAATGTTATTCAATTCGCATTTTTTTTATTTATGTCGGTACATTTGTTTCGAATATATGTTCGAAGTTTCAACTGTTTAGCATATTTAGTTTGTTGGTGAGAGACATGAAAGGCATAAAAATGTTGACAGTGGCGTAGGTGATTGTACTGTGAGTCAGAATTCTTTTACAAGTGGTACAAGCTTTTCATAAAAGATCGGGAAGATATGAATGACGACGCTCGCCCTGGACGCCCCAGCTCTTCAACAACCGATGAAAATGTTAAGAAACTGAAGAAAATTGTTAAATAAAATCGTCGAAACACTATGAGGAAATTTCTGGGCATGAAGTGTGTGGCAGCCAAGTTCGCTCCAAAATTTCTGAATTTCGAGCAGAAAACCATCGCATGAGCATCGCTCAGGAATTGTTAAAGACATCAACGGTGATCTAGATTTGCTTGAAAAGGTCATAACTGGTGACAAATCTTGGTTATATAGTTATCACATCGAAATCAAAGTCCAATCGTCCCAAAGTAAAAGCCCAGGAGAGCCTAGACCAAAAAGCACACCAGATTCTATAAGTGTCGAAGTTTTTCTCACTGTTTTTTTTCGATTACCATGGCATAGTGCATCAGGAGTTCTTGCCACATGGTCGCACGGTCAAAAAGAAGTATTATCTTCAAGTTATGCTCCACTTACGAGAAGCAATACGAAAAAAATATCCGGTATAGTGGAAAAACAATTGAAGGCTTTTGCTTCATGATAATGCACCTGCTCACTCGTTATTGCTTGTTCGTAACTTTTGGACCTCAGCTACCGTATTCACCAAGAACATAATCAAGAAGTGCACATTAGAACTGCTTCGACGATTAGGAAAATTGTTGTCACAAATGTATTATATTTGAGAGGGACAAAATAGGAAGTGATGAATTCCACATTATTCTTTGAACAGATAGCGTATTCTTCGAAGTTACTATTGAGGGATTTTTGAATATGTTAGTTAGTCAAAGTTCAATAACAATGCACTCTTCAGAGAGTGCAACGATTGGAACGAAAAAATGAAAAGATATATGATTAAACATATAGATCTATACTTGTGATGGACTGTTTGGAACCTTTGGTGTAGTAGTAAATATTACTGGAGTTTTATCTCAACAGCAAACCGTTATTTCTAACACCTCGACACGTGTTTCGATCACCAAGTAAACTGTGGTTTAATCTTCCTCATGAAGATGATTACTTGGTGATCAAAACACGTGTCGAGGTGTTAAAAATAACGGTTTTGTGTTGGGATGAAACTATAGTGATATTCATATAGATCTATTTAAAAAATTATTGAGTATTCTTCAGGAAAGTGATAAACTATAGAACATCCTGCGATTGTGGAGACATTTTTTGGTAACATTAAAGGGCAGATATAATCAACTTATGGAAAATTCAAATTTCCACATTATGCAAAAATTTAAGATTTTCAGCAAATTGAATATTTTCTAAACTTTCTGCTGGAAACAAAAAAATATTTTGGAAAAATAGTAGTTATTTCTCATTTGAAAACCAAGTTATTATGTTTTATCTTATGTAATGAAATAAATAATCCATGATGTGCTACCAACACTTCAAAAAACACAAATTGAAAAGAGTCTTTTTCTAAAGTAGGCATCTTTTTCATTTCTGGGATTGTCAATTTTGTCAGACAAATGAAATTTGTCTGAAGAATTGAATTTGAATAAAAGTGCCTGAAGAAATTCACTTACTCATACGTTCACATTTTTTTAGTTCTCACACCAGTAGTTATGGATTATTTGGAAAAAAGAGGAACTCTTTGTAGATATCCTTGGATGACACTGCCGGCCTCAGTAGGAATTCTAGGTCTCTGCCTAACATTTGCTACACCTCTGGCTTGTGCATTTTTCAAACAAAAAGCTTCAATTCCATTCAAACATTTAGAACCAGAATTGAGGGTGAGTAAAAATACTATGCAAGTGTATATCAAAAATGAGTTATTAATGTTCATTCGAATTTGAATACTTCCACAGCTCTACAAGAACCTCGTTTACAAGTGCGCGTATATTCTAAAATTCTAAATATTAAAATAGTATAATACACAATTCAGGATGCTATGGTTCATTTGAAGGTGACTTTCTTTCGAAAAATAATTGACGTTGCTCCAGTAAGCAAATCAAAGATGTAAACCAGCAATAAAAAGTTCAGTCAGTCTCAGTTATCAAAGATTCATCTTCTAAATCAGTGACAGTTTTTGAAAGTTGACAATTAAAAAAACAGTTTTTCCTACTTTCACAACTTGAACATCATACACAGTTGTTTTCAGTGAAAAACAAAATGTATATGCAAACACTTTTGGTTAACCTTCGATCAAACTTTGTATTTTCTATAAAAAGAATTCGCCGTCAATAAATTTATTTTTGCTATTTTTATGTATTCTAATGTGCCCATAAAATATACTTTATTTCAATTCCAATCGCTGATATGAACAAGGTTGTTTCTTGAAACAAATGAAGAAAGGGTTCATTTAAAAGTATTGGCAGGGATATAAATTATTATTACTGATAAAAGATCCAATTGCAGTGAGCAATGATTGAGTTATATGTTCTTTCTGTTGGTTTTTCCACCCTCATTAGTTATTTTAAAACCTCTCTTCAATTCTTAAAGATGCTGTTAATGTCAAAATATTTTTCTGAAATGGCAGTGACACCTTCGCCTACTCCACTGTTTACGCTATTTCGTGTTTTTCCATTTAAAAATCATGGCAATAATTTGATGAATACTTTGATATAAAAAGTGCATATATGTAAATACTCATTAAACTGGCTCAACAGAAAATAACTATTAGAGGAAAACTATACGCCCTTGGAGATATATTTTATTCAGAGCATATCAACATTTTTAAAATACAAACGAAAATTAATTGTTTCTGTTACAAGGTGATTTTGGAAAATATCATTATGATACTACCCTAACGGTTGATATTTTATCGTGTTTTGAGAATATTTTTTGCGCAATTAGAATTAAAAAATAACAGCTCCAATTTTACAAATGTTTTTTGAATAGCAATGTGATATTTACCGTAGCGACGTTGTTGACAGAACTGCTAAACACACGTTTTTGTCAAAATCTGGTTTAATTATCTATTCCCACGAAAGAATAATACATATCATTGAAGCGTGAAGTAAAAATATTAATATTCAGGTAAAATCTCGCCAGAGATGAAACTCATTATGAATCTTTAAAATAGGTATTTCTCCTTCTCTCGTTCATTCCTTTCTCTCTCGCTCTCATTATTTCTTCTTCACTATCCCCTTTTCTCCTCTATCCCTCTGTTAATAAATGATTATCTGTTTTTTCGATCTGGCTTTTTGAGTTCTAGTAACATATATATTTGGAATCGGAGCAAACTTGTTGGATACTTGATAAATTTCCACTTTTATCAATTGATACGTGCAATACCAACGATCTCATTACAGTTTCTAGAACTTTTCGTTACGACATTTAGTCGGTTAATGAAAAATATACGTTTGTTTGAGCAAAAAGGAACTAAAATTATAGATTCACTCCAGATGATTAGAGGAAAAAAAAACTCGGATATTAAGAATTGGTACATAAATATAATTTGAAAAATCGTTTCGGAATTACTCATATTTTCTTCAAAATTCAAGATCATAAAAATTGCACGAACTCAATGGACGATAAAAGCAACATTTGTAATAGAAACTGCAATGGAAACTAATGGAGGTCTCAATCTGCCTCCTACTCTTCAGGTAGTGACACCCTTCAAGGGTTATGTGACTTGACGCCAAGTTCTCAATCTGCGTACCTACTCCTCTGGTCTAGTCACTGGTCTCCACTCTACTCTCAAGCGTAGAGTTTGTTGGGGGATAAAATGGACACCAATATGTCTTGGCACGATCATGTCGCTGGAATTGCAAAGGCTGCTTCTCAAAAGCTTGAAACACTGTCTCGAACTAGAAAACACACCGCCTCAGCTACTTTTCATGGTTTATAAAGCTCAGATCAGACCTTCTTTGGAGTATTGTTCTCATGTATTAAGCTCTGCCCCCAAACATACCCTGAAGTTGCTGGATTCCATCCAGAAAAGAGCCATCCGTCTGATTGGAGACGCGAATATCACGTGCAACCTTGATAGCCTGAAACATCGAAGAAAGGTTGGAGATTTGCCTCTCTTCTATAGATAATTTCACGGGAAGTGTTCAAGTGACTTGGCACATTTGATTCCAACAAGAGCGGTACATATTGGAAATACGCGACGAACTGTGGCTGCTCATCTTTTTGAGGTTCAACTCAGTACACATCGAACTTCACTGTTCAAGAACTCTTTTATCTGGAAAACTACGTTTATGTGGAATATACTTCCTGAGAACGTTCTTCCAAACGTTCTTCTTCCTGTGGTGCTTGTGTTTTGAGATGTACAGGGTGACAGTAATGGTCTCCATGAATGAGGTAATCTTTGGGAATCACATCATTTGTTGGGGTAGTTGGGAGGTTATTCAATTGAAAAACTTGCCTGTGGACCCGCAGTTGACGTTTGGGAGTGGACAGAATTGAGACCCTTGCGGAGATCAGTGATGAGACCTGGGGAGTAGGCAGATTGAGACTCTGGCGTCGGGTCACAAAACCTTTAAAGCAAGCCACTACCTGAGGAGAAGGCAAATTAAGACCTCAGTGTCGAAACCGAAAGAAACGTTGAACAACTTTAAAACACCAAACGCTGTTCAAACCGGTCTTCATACTATCAGATTGCTGATCGCGGAACCCTTGAACACAGACACACACACACACATACATACTTATAATATATGGTGTTCGCTACAGTCTAATATAACAATATGATATAACATATTACTTGCGAATCGATATAGTGCACGTACTTCCCACTTGATATTTTTTTATATGTCTACAGTGATAATTTTCAAGACGAAGACAATAAGGTTTCTTGATACCGCTAACCCAACTAATTTGATTGTTTATTTCAGTGCAGAATACTGAAACGATTCTGCTGTTCACCTCCAACCTACGTTTACTACTACACCAATCTCCTTTCCCCACCCCAACCCATGAGCTACGCTTGATACCAGAAGTCTGTAACGAGTATCGTCTCCCAACAAAAAATAAGAACAATTGAATAAGTAAATAAGCAATAAAAAACTGTTACCTGTTATTGGTTCTCATTGATTTGAAAGAATTTGTTTTTTTTTTCAGGAGGAGATCCAGAAAAAATATGATGTTCTTCCAACCGTCGTTTTCTTCAACAAGGGCTTGTAGATCTCAAAATAATAATTTTATTACTTACATATACTACTAAGTTTGTCGCTTGCCGGCGGTAGGAGAAACATAGGAAAATCGTGAAATGTCATTTAGTTGAATTCCCTGTGATTCCGGGTCGTAGGAAAAAAATCAAAACAAGTATATTTTAGACACTGCCATTTAATGAATTATACAACAAAATGCAGTGGTGAAATTCTTAGATTATTTCAACATCTGATGAATGTCTTGTTGGAAAGAAATGAGTCCCACTTCACTTCACTTCATTTCAGTCCATAGGAACTGAACATTCTTTTTGAGACAATAATTATATGTAAAGAAATTTGTATTTTTTAATTGAAGAGCTATCGAAAATAGTTTCTGAAAAATTCTAAATGGGATGCCCATATATCACAAAAATTTTTCTGAAACTTGTATTTGTAAATAAAAAACATTGGGTATTGCGCGTATTTAGCGTGAGGAGGTGGATGAAGCTGTCAAAAATGCATGCACATTTTTATTACTAACATTTTTCGAAATTTACACAAAATAGTTCGCAAAACCACCACACGTATTTCACTATAAAGGTATCTTCTTCATGCGTGTTTAATAGTACAAATACTTTGGAGATAATAACAACGTTTTTTGATCTCAAGAAACATACAATGATTCAGGAGGGGCAATAACATAATATTATAACATCACAATATGAATAAATAATAATAAAAAACAAATGTCATAATAACAATAGAATGAATTTGTGATGCACTGTTCGAAACCTTTGGTGTAGTAATGAATTTTACTGGAGTTTTTTCCCAACACCAAACCGTTATTTTAACACCTCAACACGTGTTTCGATCAGCAAGTGATCATCTTCAAGAGGAATATCAAACTAGTTTGATCTTCCTCTTGTATTATGAATAAATACAAATTATGAAATTATGAACCAACAACAAAAATTTGTTTTTTATCGACCTTTTCTGGGTATTTGTTACCTTCCACAATCTGAAAAATATAAAAATTATAATGGAGAACTTTATACAAGTGTAGAAGGGCAAACTTTTTAGTTTACCCCGATAAGTTACTGCGTAAAAATCAAAGTATTTTTCACAAAGAAAAATCTTCTATTTATCAGTAACTTGTCGTATTTAACAATTTTGCTTGTCAAAAAAATTGTTAAGGAATAATACCATACTTATCTTATCGTTCCTCTTTATCTCCCATCTTTAGTAACATATATATGGAGTATTTTGAAGTATCTTTTGTTGAAACTTACCAGCATGGTCCCAAAGTTTGGTGGAGATACCTTGACGATATTTTTGATGTTAGGTATAGAAACAATGATGACCTGAATGCTTTTTTGAATTATATCAACGAGCGGGAGCCGAAAAAAGGTTCACAATATAGATTGAACAAGATGGTCGACTCCCTTTCCTTGATGTAATGTTGGAGAATTCAGATCCGCATTGTAAACTGTAAATTCAGGTACTCAATCAAGCCAAGTACCCCTATAAGTACCTACAGGGGTGGTATATAATGGATAATGTAATGAATCATTGTTAGTTTATTGCAGTGTTCCTCAAAGTGTGCGCCGCGACGCCCTGGGGCGCCGTGTAACCTTTACTGGGGCGCCGTGGGCCACGGGTGAGTCTCAAGGTACAACGTTTTATGACATAGATAACTGAGAGTAAAGGTAATACGTCGGTACCTATTAATAAAAATCCTCTGATAATATCGGTAATTGCAAAATGCAATTCGTTCAGACTCCACTTCTTATCTGAATATTCTGAGACTGAAAATTTATTGAAGTTTGTACCTATATGTTTTGATAAAGAAGATAGACAATTTTGATCCAGCATATATACTACTTTTATATTATTTGAGCCTTGATAATTCACCTTTTCCCTTGTGGGATAGCTTATACCATGGGAGTATTACGATTCCTTCCAATACATTCTCAAAAAACGTTAGTTTCGTTGATGGGCCGGGGTAGGACCTCTCTGGTCCACTTATACCATTTGCAACATATTCAATATTTCATAAATACATTTGTTTATTTTGCTAATGCGAACATCTGATATTATTCTTAAAATTTATTTCGAAGGAAAGTCAAACAAAAAGATTAAAGATTGTGATATTTGGGTATTTCCCATAATCGTTAAATATTAAATGTTAATTATGTATTCATCAAGTATCGACCGATTCCATCACATATATTAATTGATAAATTGTAGTCGAATATAGTGAATGTTGTTGGGTTTGGAAGAAGTTGAAAAAAATGATTTGAAAAAATGATATAGCTTATGTGGGATAACTAGATGAGTGCTCTGAAAAGCGCCTATAAATGATAGGATATTCAGATGATACAAAGATGTATAACCTGTTCACCGAACAGATGCAGTGATCACTTGTTCTTTGCCTATGAAGAAAGTTAATGTTCAGAATCAATTTCAATTTTATCAGGAAACTTGAATCAACACAAAAATTTAAGCACCACCATGTGTATTGATAATTTTTGAAGATATTAAAATGAAAATATAGCACAAATAAGAGGGAAAATGCCAAGCAGAATCATTTTACTTGTGTGAAAATGGTCGAAGGTGAACTCCCGGCTGATCACAATACTGGACTTGTGAAAAATCACGTGCAGATCACTCTGATTTGAAACTCCATCTGTTCGGTAAACAGATCTCAGTATATTTCAGCAGCTTTGAACTTCGTGAGAGGTCTCAGCTGCACTAGGTAGGTAAATGAATGTCTTCACCTCATATTAAAATAGTTATTTACTCTTCTCTTCCTCTTCTTTATAGCTCATTGTTTCAATTTTCCGATATGAAAGTCGATTGAAAAATATAATAAGAAAAGTGATTATGCTAGATGAGTGTTATTGTTATTGTTATTTTTCGTGATAAGTATATTTACGAATGTTTTTTGTGGTTGTTTTTTTTTTCAAAAATTATTTCACTATCTCAAAAAAAAACGCATATAAATCTAGTAAGTAGGTCTTCCATCGAATAATATTCCTGGATACATCTCCACGTAGTGCAAAAGATATCAGATATGTTGGTGATCAACAAGAGAACTCAACTTTTCAGAGACCAAAATCTGGATCCGTCTTCAGGATGCAAAACCAGCTAGATTTCGCGATACTTTTTTCAAAAATTGTCTTTTTTTCAAATTTATTCGGCAGATGTCGAAGAGGAACATAACATATTAAAAATGTCATTCCATTAGTTCAGACTTCCATTGTCTAATATGATATGAAATCCATTAAAACAATCAAAATGAACTAAAAATTAAAAGATTACAAGCCAAGTTACTTCACGACGTTTCGATTGTTACTATTCACAATTGTCTTCGGGTGATGACTGGACTATTCCTCCGAGAGATGACTACATATAAGTAGGTCATTCGAAAGCTTCCCGAGTGCTTTCGTAAAGGATAAGAAGAATTGAAGAATTGGGTCCAAGTACATCAGAACCTGCTTCAGATCCGGAAACACCATTCGTAGCAGTCTCACGAAAACCAGGCCTTCAAACGCGGACTGCGATTTCAAAAAATGCATTTACCGTATACCCTGTGTGCGGCAAATCCTATATCGGTGAAACTAAGAGGCCATTGAAAGTCCGCATTGCCGAGCACAAGAAACACACACAGCGAGGAGAAACCAGCAAATCGGGAATAGCAGAACATGTTTAGACTCATCAACGTTACATCAAGTGGTCCCAAGCTGAAATCGTCCACAGGCAGGAACACTGGTTTAGGAGGAAATAGCTCCTTGAGCTATTTCAGGGGAATTCACAGATGACATAACATTTGTACAATAACTTGAAATTGAGTAAATGCGTCAGTCCGTCAGTAGTCGACCTCTTGAGTGAAATATTTGAGATAACCGTACTATAAAATTTACTCATTTGTTACAGCTTCTCACATTTGCGATATACCAAATAGGTACTCATTCATAACAGTTTCAACTCCTCTCGAGACAAACTCACAGTAAAAGCGGGAAATACTAAATCAATTCGTATATCCAGAATACGTCAATTGAATAGTTATTCATCAAAAAACTACTGTCGGTCAAAATTTAACCAATAGTCGGCTTATTTTTGATAACCTGTTACACAGACTTTATAATAAGGTTTGTTCTGGTTCTAACCTAAATTTTGAGGAGACCACTGTGCCACCTATCATATATATGAAGATTATATTTTTAGGAGTGATTGATTAATTTTTGGGAAAGAAATGTTTTGGCTTTCTACTACTCCATCTTGATACAAAAGAAAGAGTAGGCATCTTCCAAAGAAGCAATCAATTTTAAAAGTAGTAACTCTATACATAGATGTGTAGATCATGCAAAGAAGTAACTTTCAGACACAAACTGGAAGAAAAATTCCTCCTGAAACAGCTACTTTCATGTAAACATTGAATTACACGAAAGAAAAATTCTTTCGAAACAAATACTTTTATATGGATACTGAATTATACAGAAAACACTCCCTACTTAGTTTGTATTCAAAACATTCGTTATGTAGCGTATCCTTATAGTCAGTTCAAATCTTATCTAACCTCAATCATCAATTATTTAAATCAAATAAATGTGAAAAAACATCCTAGAAAATAGCCCAAACAAATTTCAACATGAATGTGCATGAGCAACGGAAACAGTTCCTAACAGTTCAGCCTCGAGAGCAAGAACGATTCGGGACGGTTCGAAACAGTTTAGGATCATTTTGCGTTCGAAACCAGAACAGAGGATTCATCAATCCGAACTTATCCTCGAAAAACCAGAACGCTCTATATCAACTGGGCATGATCCTGACGTCCTAGAACCTGAATTTCGTAGAACCAGAACAAACCTATAAAGGACGATTCAAGTACCCCTATTCAGTGTTGCCACTATAAAATTTTCGGATCTAAATCGACTGACATTTTCTAGGTCTTTTTTGGAATAATTCAAAGTCGGAAAAGATAGAATTTTTAATTTTATAGATTTCTAGGTGTTTCCGGATATATGAATCGAAGTATTGAAGTTGATATGGACAAAAATAAAGAATCCTAGGGAATTTTAAGATTGTACGTTGTTTAATAGTGGTAATCCTGTCATTTTATCGTCACATGTCATATACCATATGAAATATTGTTGTATTCACTCATTGTTTATTGTATTCAGTAGAACAGGATCGTTCTGATAGGAAAAGTCTAACCATCTTTGGAATTCTGCAATTGAATGGTCTTCAATCAATAAATTGTCTTTCAATAGGGCACCTCGATTTAGACCCGAAAATTTTATAGTGGGAACACTGAACAGGGATACTGGAATCATCCATTTAGAACATAAATATATATTTTCTCAGAGTTGGTTACTCTGTATATTTGTCATTAGTGTCAGTTGTCATGTTAGATTGTCAAAACGTTACTTCTACTTCAGTCATTGTCTAAAGATTTATCTAATCTATAGACAATGCTCCAGTTAATTTTTTTATAGACGTATTAGTTTTTTTTATGAAATGTTTGCATTTAGCTTCGATAGCTAAACCCAGGAGGTGCCACATTTTTATGTAAGGTGAAGATTTTATTAAGCTTAGTAGAAATTTCCCCGAATAAAACACTATACCTCAAACGACGTTGAACATATGTATTTCATACAAGAATTGTTGCCTCCTCAGATATGTTTCGTGACGATAGTGCAACAATTTTTTTGCAAAATGCTTATCCAAAAAGCAGACAACTATTATTCCTTTATCCTCATCGCCGACTGCGCTTTCTTGTTTGACCTGTTACTCTTTAGTTTCTTTTATCTGCATACCTAATTACTTTCTCGATATTTCCGACTTGAAACTCGGATTTATGTTTTTCCGATATCTAACTCGGAATGATGTTGATAATGGAGGAAGTCAGATGTTAGGTTGGGTTCTAATATGAAAAACCCAGATTGAAATAGAAATTTCCGAATTGGATTGGAAAAATGGATATACATGTTTCAGGCGTTTTATTGGCAACACTGATATTTGATATATAATGTGTAAGGTATGTTAGCGTTATATTTTAATCTTTTATCAGTTTGAACATTTATATCGATAACATACATTGATATTTTCACGCATATCGCACTTTTCTTTTTAGTATAGAAACGTTCTCTGCTTTGTAAGAATTTTATTTTGTGAATACATCGGCATACTATCAATTCAATAAATAAGTGCTTGAATTCGTAAACCCAAATCATGCACTATTTTGCTGACACTTAGGCTAAACATATCATTCATCGAATTGCTTAGAATAATTGCTATCGTTTTCATATCGGAGATCGAGCTTTATTCAGTTGAATATAATTTGTATTTGGTGTGACACTCGAATAATACTTGTAGTGTGAAGACCTGCCTCTTCTTACTTTAGATGGCAATAGAAAAACCAGTAATGTTCACTTGCGAGGATTGAGACATCCATACTTTAGACTTTAGGTGGCACAAGGTACTACGTACTATATCCATTATCAATGTCCTGTTTTCTCCAAAAATCAACCATGAATTAGTAAAGGCGTCTCTATTATATACAAGGAACAATCTGATTTTTGTCAACCACCTTCAAAAAAAACAAAATTAATTTCTATAGGACTCTACAAACCAAGTTACGAACCATATTACAATCATTTATAAAAAACATGGTGGACCAGAAAGACAATGGTCATTTTCAAAACTTCATCACAATATGTTTCACAGACTTCAATTCGCTTTCCTTTCATAAAATGGGTCCGTTTTTCGTACTCTTTGATAAAACTTGTTGAGGAAACCATGTTCCGTATATCACCACTTTTTCATGAATATGACGGCGCAACACCAAGATCATGGTTGTTTCGACCAGACCCTAAAAACAGCGACGTAACGTTCAAGACTGGGTCACTTGAATAGTTCTTTTTTTTATACTTCTTGACACGACATCTGAAACTTTAAATCACTGAAAAGTATTTGAAGAATGAATAAGGGATCTTCTCTCAAAATATTTGCTGCAAACCTATAAACGACTCTTTTTTTCTTCGAAATCGAATGTTAGCCGTACTTAGGTATCAATTAAGTCAACTAGTCAACGTCAGATGTCTTTGTCACTTTGTATCATTATGTCAAGTGTCACGTGTCACCTACTTGAATTTTATAAATTTTATATTTTGTACTGAAGCATACTGTATAAAATACCAGTGCTCTGCCAGACTTCAGGTTCAGGACATTTTCATCTTGTTTGGAAGCTTCTTATGTCCTAAAATTTTGTTGATGACTGCTTAAATACCTTGAGTTGTCAACGGCCAATTGCATTACCGAATAAAATACACTTTGGTTAGGAATTAAATAACAATTATTATGAATTCGGACGATTATGAAACGCTTCCAACAGACAATGTCTCTACGCACATGATAGCCGGAGCGATCGCTGGTGTTATGGAACATTGCGTAATGTACCCTCTAGATTCTGTAAAAGTAAGTTCTGAACTTGTATTGAAATATTGTTTAATCTTCTCTAGATATCTGATGAGAAATACCTAGGATTTTAAGGTTATGAGTGATTTTCTATGACTGAAAAGAAATGTCTTTCTACAGACCAGAATGCAGTCACTGACGACATCTGGCACAGAAGGAATTGGTGAGACGCTTATAAGAATGGTTCGACACGAGGGACTACTGAGGCCAGTTAGAGGAATGTCTGCTATGGTTGTGGGGGCTGGCCCCTCGCATGCTTTATATTTCAGTAGTTATGAATACCTTAAGAACACTCTAACTCAGTATACAAACTCAGCCAGGTACCATACATTAATTTTCGGTAAGTGATATTTATGTATTTGATATCCTTGGGATCTTGAAAAGACATTGGACATCCTCAGTTCTGGAATCAACTAGAGCATGTTCATGATTTTTGTTAAAAACTTTATAGATGATCATATATTTTATTCTCTTTTTCCTGAGTCAGCCTAGGATATTACAAATATTTATCTGAACTGCTTAACCTATAAAAATCAATGATAATTTTTATTGACTGAAAGGTTAGGTACTAGTGTTACAGCTATGTTTGAGCATTTATCAGCATATTTGTTTTGAACTCCATACACGATTATTTAATTAATTCATTGTTCATTGTATGAAAAGAAGAATTTATATTTGCTTAGAAAAGTCATTTTGATCCGAGTAACATTAATTTTTTATTCCTAGCAACACACTTGAAATTGACAAATTCCTGCCTTATATCAATAAGACATAAGGCAGTATCAGCAGTAAATGGTAGTACTACTATTACTATACAGAGAATACAATAGGTTGGAAAGGATCATGATTGGTTTCAAGTTAGACAGTATCAGCAGTAAATGGTAGTACTACTATTACTCTACAGAGAATACAATAGGTTGGAAAGGATCATGATTGGTTTCAAGTTATTTTTATCATTCCAAGTTACTATATGATAATTTTTCCATATACTGATCATGAAACTAAATTAAGAAAACATTTTTTTGGTGTGAGATTTCAGATAAGAATCCCAATGAAATTGGTTCGATGTCATATGATATGTTATTCATATTATTTGAAAGTATTATCATTATCTTGAATAACTTGTTCCATAATTTGTAGGCTTATATACCTATTAATCAAATAAAATGAAATTGTCATGCCATTGTCATGTGGAATTGAAAGTCATTCAGGTATAGACCAATAGAACCAAATGTGTTCGAACTTCTGAGTTTCACTAACATTTATACAAATGGATATTTTCTAATGCTAACTATATTCAAGAAAAAACAAATGTTTCCCTTCTTAATTTTTTCTTCTCCCTATTAACAACTTGATATAATTTTTTATCCTCATTTCGAGTTGTTTCATTATTTTTTATACCTTCCATCATGTTATCATGAACATCAAAAGACCGAATGTCAAAAACTATTTTTGGTAAGATAACTAAGAGGTTAATAAAGAACAATATGTATTTTTAAACTTCATTGAAATCATTCAGTTTTCGAGTAATAGAAAGTTATTCTCCAATGAACTATTTAAACTGTCCATAAATGTATGAGTGAGATTGTACCTAGTTGGTAAATTGTTGCGAATTTGTTTTGCCTTTATCAATATTCTCGTACTGTTATTACTGAAAATTGATGGACTTGCCATGACATTGACGGAAATTCTTAGATATTGAACGTGTTTATTGGATTCTGGATCCACAATATTAAATGTTGAGCTGAAGTGAAATGACGATATTTGAGTCATACATTAGTATTTTACTAACAAATGAATAAACATAAAAAATCTAACCATGAGAATAGTCAACAATAATACTGGTATTATGATCATGGTTTGAATTGTTTTTTTAAATGCTTCGTATTTAACTTTTTTGATCAATCACATTGATCGTAGTCCGAATAGTAAGTTACTGTGATGAACTGATTAAAAGGGCTAATATGAGAAGTTATTAGGGGAAAAAGCTCTTTGGCATTCTAGTTCTACATATCTTTATAAAAAAATATAGGAGACTCACGAAGAATTAAGCAAAGCAAAAATAACTTTTTTCTACTCATTTTATACTTGAAAATTCGTTATTGAAATAAAACACATATCACTCACAGGAACATCATACAGGGTAATATATAAAAGTGTATTGATTAAAAAAAAATTTATCTATCATCCTTATGGTGTACTCTTAAAGTACCAAGTCAAAAATACTTGTATTTAACTTTTAATTAGCAATTTTTTTAACTTTGGGAGACGAAAATACACATTTTTCACACAATATTATGACTTTATTTCACTGAATAAGATAATTCTGTTTCGGTCACAACTCAACCAATTAGGGCCAAATCGACCTTATTTCACTTTAATTTCAAGGCGCAATTTTTAAATATAGGTAGGTTCAAATATTTACTTTTGTTTGGCACGGACATTGTTTTGAAAAGTCGTATTTCAGGCTCGTAATGGGTCAAAACATGTTTTGGTTCATTTCTTGGCTCCCAATGGAAGATTTTCTTGTTCGTCTTTAAGCCTTCTATCACTGTTCAAAAATTATTTCGTTGAGTGCTTTTTAAGGTGAAAAGTAATTTCTTTGGGTTCCAATTTTTTCCTATTGGTATTGAAAGCCGGAAATGGAGAGAAAAAACGCTAAATTTCCTTTTGCACATGTTACAAAATGAAAATATTTTCCAAATGAACTTTGATGTGTTTAATCACCGCTTTAAGAAATTAAGAAAAAAAACTCGAATGTGTCTGTAAAATAAGATTAGGTAAAAAAAGCACATTACATCTGTTCTTGGTATCAGAATATTGGTTTATGAAAAACATGAAAAAATAAAAAATATTTGAAATTTGTCAGAAAAAACAAGTTAATCGGATGTACTTTTTTTGCTGTCAACGGCTTCGACTGCTTTGACCATTAGCCTCTTGTTCTGTAGTTGTTCTCACATGTATGTATTTTAATTTATTTTCCTTACTTCAGTTTACAGAATGACTTTGGTACACCCAATAGTTTCCTGTAAAGTTTTGACATCTTTCACCAGCTTCACGAGTTTTCTCAGTTGTAGTAACTGTTACACTCTTTATAAAAATTTGACCATTGATCCTCAAACAATGTTTCGCATGTGATAAGTTTAAAGTCAGTTAAAAAGTTGTAATATATGTTTAAAAGGGGCTGTCACCAATCAAAACATCACTATTCATTAAAAGGTTTTTGAGAGAGGACATCATCATCACTACAACTTTTACTATACAAAAACAAAAGTTGGCAACGATATGTAATGTCGTTATGTCCAAATGAAATCAAAAAAAAGTTGTTTTCTTGGCTAATACTTCGACGTGTATTGTATTACATCTGACAGTTATTTGTGCAAGTTTCCTCACAGAGTAAATCATTGGAGATGAAAATCTTCGTTTTTTGTCAGGTTATCAAATTCTAATGTGGAAGAGCTGGGCTGGGTAAATGTCTCGAATCTCAGTTGATATTTTCATTTTCTCCTCCGTATGGTCATCAGATTGTTTTGATTTCTGCTGCTATTGACAAACCAATTCGGTAGGATTCCCTCTTATACACAAAATAATTACATCCTCATCATTGTATAAAAATAAATGTTCCAAAGAACCATGAAAATTGGTTTTTCCATTGTGAAGCTGTAATTATTTTGTGAGAGACAATGCTGTTGAGTTAGATTTTCTCGGTGCTGGTGCTCAAGTTGTCATCAGCTTCGGGGGAGGGGGCAAGGTTCTCACCTCCATAATTTTAGGATTCGCAAGTCGAATTTTCATTTGTGGATTTATGAAACAAGTTGAAATTGATAAGAAGTCAGCTTTTCATTTCGAATCAATTCTATATCTAGAGGGTGATCCAGAAGATAAATTTTGTCTTGGCTGAGTTTTTGAAAAAATTATACAATCATTAAGATGACTCGAACATCATCTTTTAAACATGAAATAACAAAAAAGTTTCAATACAAGTATTACTAGAAATTGGTCCCTCAAAGTTACAGCTGTCTGAATAATGAGTGACAGATAGCAAGTGGAAAAACATTATTCAATTCATGAATTCACGAAAAAAATTATTCATGATAAAAAATCTTCTTCGTCCGCAATAGCTATCTTCATTTCATATATGAGTGTCGTATGTTATACACAAAATAGTAGACAATAATACTTTGGCTACATTCCATTCAAAAGTATTGCCACAACAAGCCGAACACACACTTCTACTGAATTTTTGAAGTTATGATGAACATTATTAAGGTCTGATTAATTTTTCATAATTTTTTCATCATCATTGAGATTGAATTCATATTATAAATTTTATTCAAAATATTCCTACATATTGAAATTATTAGATAACGACTTCCAGGAGTCCAGAGAAGTTATTTGCCAATGGTTTATAGCTGAAATGATTCCAAAAAAAATTATTCAATGAATAGGTCTTTAATTTTCACTCATTTTGTTAATCCACCAAAAAAAAGTTGATAGATGTAGCCATTACTACGTGGTAGGAGATCATCCTATATGGACATTCTCAAACATTCTCAAAAAAAAGTTGTTTGTTATTCAAGAGGCTGTAACTTTGAAAGAAAAAATTCTCTAATACTTATTTGATGGTCCTTTTTCAAATATTAGGGTAAACATCATATTTTATTTCACCCTATATATTGGAGTGATTTAAAATGAAAAGGTTTTGGATTTGACAGTCTCTCTTATGATTTTTTCTGCAATTCCGTGAATAAAAAAAAATGGTATAAATACATTATAGACCTCGAGTTACAAATACTGATTTTTTCTCTTATTTTTAAACTTATGAAAAAAGATAATGATTGAATTATGATTTATGTGCTAATTCCAACCCCATACCAAGATATTAATCAAGCAATTTGAGAATATTACTTTTGAAATACAAAGATAATATGTCTGTTATTTCAATTCTCTTGTAAACACCGAGAGGTTATCATATAATCTGAAAGTGAACAATTGAATAATATTTTTGATCTGAAAGTCATTGAATTTTGCTGAGATAACCAGTAGTACCACAACTCTGTTTATCGCAAAGGAATATTAGATTAGGTAATGAATCTTTTACCAGTATTCGAAAAGTAGATAATTTTGAGTAAGAATTTTTAGTGTGACAGTGGAAGTAAAGTCATTATAGGTTTCATTTGTCATAATTATGCGGAAATATGAACATTTGTGAACATATTGTACACATTTAAAAGCTATTACAAAAATATTTTATTGTATAGGATAAAGAAAATACTCAAGTAACTGAGAGTTACTTGAGAATGGTCTAACAAACCAAAACCGGTTGTAACAAATAATGAA